CTCTCTCTCTCTCTCTCTCTCTCTCTCTCTCTCTCTCTCTCTCTCTCACACACACACACACACACACACACGCACACGCACACGCACACACACACATACTTCAACTTGAGATTAAAAGAATTTATCTTCTATATTTATAATAATTGGCCTGATTGAACAAAACAGATAAAAAGAGGAATTGAAAATGGCTACAAAATCATAAAAGGAACTAAGGTTAAAACAGATACTAAAGTGAAGACAGATGAATTCATCAATAACAGTAACAGGTCTCTATGTAAGGCATATGGTTAGAAACATACATGTAACATTGCAGCCATCTCCAAAACAAAGATCTCAAACCACATTAAATTCTTCTAAAAACCATGTGTAATTCCAAGTCTTCATGTATAAAGCTATGGCAGTTACAGTATTGATGTTGGGAATTCATACTACTTTAGACTGTGATGTGACCCTAAAATAGTTTGATACTTTATCAGCTATATATTCCTTCCATATAAAATACTATACCAAAATAAATTGTTGTCTATCTTTTTATTACATTTGCATTTACATATTTGTTTATGTGAGATGAGGATGCATGTACATGCCATGGCACATGTGTGGAGGTCTGTGGACAGCTTGTGTTAACTGGTTCTTTCTATCAAGTAGTCCTCAGAGATTAAACTCAGGTTGTCATGCTTGGAGGGAAGTGCCTTTACCTGGTAAGGCATCTCGCTACCACAAGAAAAGAGACTGTTAGTACACTAATATGTTCATAGCTCAACAACAGAAGGTAAAGATAGTAAGATAAATCATAGGAGAAAAGTGGAAAGAACAAGCCACCAAGGCTCTCCTTAGCCATTACAAATTTTAGCCAGACTATGAACCCAGCCAGAAAGAACAAAGATCCAACCAGAGTTTTATCAATTTGACAAAAGACAAAATATCTCAATAAAGATCTGGAATTCATGAAACATGGAGTTATTTCATAAACTATTCTTTTTTAAAGCTGAAGAAACTAATTTTTCGAAATTTCCTTAGCATTCAACATCATGTATTTTCATAAATTACAATGAAAGGTTTACTGAAAACATGACTACAAGAAAGACAGATTATAAAGTGATAAGCAATGGGTTAAAACATTTTTTGGAACTATTCGTAAGCTTCTGAAAAATTCTTTCTTACCTGAGGTGCATTTGTAGCCACTAGAAACGCATTTGTTCTTCCTGGGTGATCATAGTCATGCATGGCAGCTGCCACATATAAAGCCATCAATTCTAATGCGGGAATGTTGGAAGATAGACAGCCATAACTCATATCTGGAATACAGCAACTCTTCGAAGAAATGTAAGCAATCTGCCCAGGACTAAGTCTACCATCTGAATCTGTGTGGCAATAAATAGTAAACGAATATTAGCATATAACTTCCTGACAATTATGCTAAGGATGGAATTTCACATAAGTAGTATCAGTACTAATTTACTGAAATTAAATAGACTCAAAGGACTTAAGAATATACTTTCCCATCGTTTATCTTGCAGGACATTAGAGAATTCTGACACCAGGTTGATGCTTTCTTACTCAGACTAATAAATTCATACAAACTCTAAGTTTATAATTTTCTAAACATTTGTTTTTTAAGGGCTAAACATAGTAGTCATACAAAATACTAGCACCAAGAAGAAGTAGACAAAGTCCTGCCCATAATCAAGAAGCTACTTGTAATTAAAGCCTCCTGGAAAAGGGAAAATCAATTTTCTCCAGTAGAGTATACCAATCACACTCCAGGCCCTATGCCCAAGGGTAGTTAACTAAAACACAGACTTTATATTTTGGGGTGTGTGTGTGTGTGTGTGTGTGTGTGTGTGTGTGTGTGTGGTGTCTAATACCCTTTTTCTAATTTTCTTTTCTCAAAGGTTGTTTTGATTTTCTTTTTGTTATTTTTTCTTGTTGAGAGAGAGAGAGAGAGAGAACAAATAGTTGGGTAAGTAGAGAGGTAAGGAGAATTTGGGAGGAAGTGGGGAGCAGAAAGAATATGATTAAAATATATTAAATGAAAAAAATTATGTATATGTAGTATATATAGAAAAGGATCTAAATGAATAAAACTTGGGAATAAAATTTGATTTAAAAACAATGTGAACATGAGGGAATTTAATGTATTACCAAACTAAGTTAAATAGAGATGCTACTTTTCAAAATTCATCCAGAAGAATTATTTCACTTTCTGCACTGACTACAATTTCTATTCCCCTTCATCTTCCTCCTATGAGGCTCTTTACAGTGGAACAAAACAAAAAAGTATGATAAAACACACAAAGGCCTGAAAAACAGAACTACTTGGGTACCACTCCTCAGTTTCCTTCTGAAAGAAACAGTGTGTTCTCCCCTCTCTGTGATTCTGGCCCCTAACACTTCACTAACTGCCCCTGTATCCTAACATTAGCTAAGACTAAATGGTCAAGCTATCATTGTTGCTGAAGAGATTGGAAGAAATTGCAAATATAAAATGTATTATAGTAGGCAGCATATAAAACACACGATAAGAGATATGGGATGTCCTCAGTTATGTCCATCAGTTGGAAATATGTCTTGTCAAAGTCCAAATGATTTCTTTATCATAATTTGAGTCAATGTATCACAAGAATTTTTGACCATAATGACTTTAATGCACAAATGATAATTTAATTTTATAGTGTTCATTATTTTCATACTGTTTTCAATATATATTCAATTTTAGAAAACTGTACTCTTAACACACCTTATAACAATTGTTAAAAACCAGTTAAATATATGGACATGGATTATGTAGGCAAACTGCTACTAGCAAGACTTTAATATCAGGTCAATTTCCCTGTGTTATAACCATCATGGATTCCTCCTTAAATTATAAACTAAATTTTAAAAATCAAAAATGGCAAAATATATCCCCATTAAACTAAAAAAAAAAAATTAGTTGAGAATAGTGATGCAGGCCTATCTTTGAACACGACAGCACTTTGAAGTTCAAGGACCATCTTGCGTACATAAGATACTGTATTAAAACAAAAACAAAAGTGTAAAAAGTGAAACAAAACAAAAATCCAGTAATTACCTAAAGCTTAGACAGTAGGTTCTTGATAGCAGCAGTACATATAAATTTGACAGAAACTTAACATTAAGAAAGCAATGTTTTACAAATTGTTCTGCAGATTCAACACTATATATAATCAAAATCCAGGCTGCCTTTTTGAGCATGAAAATGTAAACTGAATATACAATTAACGTAGAAATACAAGAGACTGAATGGCCAAAATCACCTCAAAGGAAAAACATAGAACACTGTAACACTGAGAATTCATACTTCCTAATTTCAAAGCTTACTGCACAGTTCAAGTGATAAACACATGTGGTACTATTATAGAGATAAACACAAATAAATGAAATAAAACTGAAAGTCCAGTTTGATGCTTCTGGTTACTGACTTTCATCCAGGATGCAAAGAGACCACTGAGAAACGGCTATGCACTATGTATGACACTGGGGACTTTCTCACATGTTAACTCATGTTAATAGCATTTTAAACTCACTGGTGTCATAACATTTAGGAGTCCACTATATTTAAAATGTATGAAGAACTCTTTAGTAGATGCTACTAAGAACTCAGGATTGTAGCTCAGTAAAATGTTTGACTAGCACCCATAAGGTCCTCAGTTCTTTTCCTAACACTACAAAAAAAAAAAAGACAGACAGATAGACAGACAGACAGACAGACACAAACAAAAATGGTACTAAGACAACTGGATATTGACACACAAAATAATACTGTCCTCTTTGTTATACCTCATCTCAGAATTACCTACAAATAGGTCACTAATCTAAGCTGAACTGTAAGAATTATTAAATGATTTAAAGAAAAATATACTCACATGATCTTAACCAAAATAAGACGCACACACACACACACACACACACACACACACAAAACCATGAGCAAAACATAAAAAATTAGATGTATTTCAGGGTATAGGAAAAAATACCACATTTTGGTTACTGGCTCAGAAAACAAACTACATCTTGTGTGATAGTCCTCTAATTCCAAAAAAATAATGTTTACACCCAACAAGTGCCACGTCAGAGTTTGTAATGTGCCATCACATCACTAACTCAGTGTGACTGTGTGGTGGTATGATTTTGGAGAGATCAATAATTTCTAAGGACATAAGCCCCTTGAGACAGCTTTTGTTTTATATAGGAAAATGAGTTATTGACCTGGTCTAGTACTGTCAATAATAACATAATAAATAAAGCACCTAGTAAATTCATTAATGATGACAGTGAAGGCAACTCGGTATCTGAGATAAGAATGCTTTATCAGCTCCAAGTAGTGGCACACGCCTTTAATCCCAGCATTCTGGAGGCAGAAGCAGGCGAATCACTGAGTTTGAGACCAGCCTTGTCTACAGAGTTCCAAGACAGTCAGGGCTACACAGAGTAACCCTGTCTCAAAAACCCAAAACAACAAAAAACCCAAACAAACAACAAAAGAATGCTTTATCTTTCATAAAGAAAGGATTCACTGTAATAAACCTACCACTAGACATGGCTGGATCCCCCAGGGAATGGTGTCAAATTGAAGACTTATCTTTAGTCTCCATTATTAGCATGGTGAGTATTCTCAGCAGAGAACTGAGCCAAACCAACCTCAATAAGAAAAAGCCCATGACACTGAGCCCATACACATACATGCTTTACTCTCACTATATCTGCTGTTGTATTTATAAGCCTACTGGATGAGAACTGGAGTAGACAAGGGGAGGGATTGACAATTATCATGGGAAGGCATCACTTTGTCCAGTTGATTACTGAAAACCTCCACAGTAAATACTGTTAGGTAATTTTGTCAAGTTTCTCACGGAGAAGAAGACAGTTTGTTACCTGCTCACTTAGAAAGTTAATATTCCCATTCAGCACCCTCTCTGGGGAGATCAACACAGACCTCCCCTCCAATTCCTTACTGTTAATTTTTTAATCCTTTTCTTTCTAACACTGTTAGCCTCCATCTATAGATCCTTTCTCTAAACTTTCCTTTTTTTTAGACCAAGTGAACAAGAGTCTCTTCTTAATGCTGTGTTCATTGGTAAACTTTTAACTTTCCCTGTTATCCAATCAACGAACTCCCTTGTCTGAGCCTATAAATTTATATTCATATATTTTCAGAAAGCAAAGATCCATCTGTAAGCCTGGCCTTTTGGTCCTCCTTCAGTTAGCTGGTTCCAGAAACTTTCCTATGAACCTATAAATATGGATAAAGAATGAAAGGATCAGAGGGTCCTAAGTCATTATGAGTACATCATGTAGTAACCTAGTTTCCATGACTACTTTTCAAAAGGCACCAGAATACAGTAATAACCTAGGAACAAAAGGAGAAGAGCTATCTGAGGAAGACAGCTTGATTTTATCTAAAATGTTATGGATTTATACATTGTAATTCTTATTCAATGGTCTACAGAGGCTCCATAAAAGAAACCTATCTGTAAAAGACACCATGAACACAGCTAGACTGGCTGGTCATCTTGAAATGCAACTAACACAAGTGGAAAACATTTCATATGAGTTTTCATACTCTGGGTATCACATAAAATCTACATCCTTAAGTGTTAAAGGATTGTGGCAGGGTATTGAGATGGAATTAATATTCAGATGTGGTAAATTTTTCATCAGAACTCAAAGATCCCTCTAAGTACAGATTTTCAAATTCATCAGCTGTCCAATATTTTGCAGGGGAAATCTTAATAGAGTTTAGATGCCTCCCTAGAAAACTCTGCTAAGCAGAGAGACAATTTTGTTCTTCCCCACATCTGTTTCTATCTTTCCCTCCTTTCTTCTCTCTCATCCTCTCTGGATCAATCTGTCTCTCTAGCATCCAAACTTACCCTTATTGAGCATCTAGGATATTCACTGTATTCATTGCTTTATTTAAAAGTGTGTGTGCGTGCGTGCGTGCGTGTGTGTGTGTGTGTGTGTGTGGCGTGCATGCATGCTCACACAATACATGAGTCCAGTGTCTGCCAAGGCCAAAAGGAGTCAAAAGGTCCCTTGGAACTAGATTGTGAGCCAACCAACAGGAGTGCTAAAAAATGAATCTGAGTTCTCTGGAAGAACAGGAGGAGCTCTTAACTGCTGAGCTCTCTCTGCAGCACACATTCATTGCTTCTTAGTCAGCAAGAGCTACTCAGGATTGTCTCCCCAATATTACAAGTAAGATGAAAACAGGCTACAGAATGTGCAACTCTGTACTCCATACAAACTGTACTCTGGTAGATCTATTTTACTAGAGTATTTTGTGGCCATAAGTTCAAGTAAGAGATATAGGAACTTTATAATACATGGAGCTAATTTAACCAGTGGTATTTATGATGCGAAATAGTATTAACTTTTTGAAACAGAATTTACAATGTTTGCAAATTTTCTAAATATTACTTAAATACTCCTGTGAAAATTTTAAATGTGTTCCTTTTGTTTGGTATTATTGTATATTTTAAATATACATAATAGACATGAAACAAAAATTATCAAAATATCCAAGATTATGGCTATCTTAGACTGAGAAAAGAAGTAACATGTTACATACAGTAGTTCTGAATCATGATCTAGATCTTAAGATGGTAACAAGTTTAAAATTTTATGTCATGTTAAGCATTATAATTTACACAATCTTTTATGTGTCCCAAAGTTTACTTAAAGAATTTTTTTAGATTTAGATACACCTATACAAGTCAGCTTAATTTATTATTTCTAGTTACAGAATTAAAATAAAAATTTGTAGGAGGAAGTACCTGCTTTGGTTTCTGTTTCAAGGTTATTATGAATCTGCTGTAAGCCAGGAATTGGTCGTGTTGTCAAATACCAAACAGCATGTAGGACATCTGTGGCATGCACACGATTGTGATCTGAAGTTAACAAAATACTTTATTATAGCATCATTCTGTTTAGGTTTGGCATAAGACATTTGAAAGTGAAAATTTTTCTAGTTATACTATATCCCAACAAGTAAGGTATTTCCCACAATTTTATTTTAAGATATTCTGCTATATTAAAAGGTATTATTTTATAAGGTTTCAATTAAAATACAAAAACATAGTAAAGGCCCAAAGAAAATACAGGGAAGACAAAGATAATTTCAAAGGATTAAAAAATTATTGAGATTTCTATTGTGTTGATTTTGTAACATTGTGTCTGGACTACGGAGACACAATATAAAATAGTTTGGAGAACAAGAAGATGACCCAGTGGGTAAGATCACTTTCTGTGTATTAATGAAGATCTGAATTCAGATTTCTATATCCAAGTGAAAATCTGGGCAGAATTGTATGTAAACTACAATCTCAGTGCTTGGTTGGGGTGCTGGAGGAGGGGCTGAGATAAGAGGATAAATGGAGCTTCCCTGTCTCCAGCATAGATATAGGTTCAGTAAGAGACCCTGTTTCAAAGAGAGTGATACAGAGAACACCTCAAGTCATCCTCAGTCTCTTTGTGTGTACAACAGTGTGTGCGCTTGTACACACACACACACACATACAAACATTTTGCTCAATGAAGAGTTATATATTCTATATACCTATGTTTTGGCAAAAAAAAATGAGAAATACTAATTTCTTAGGTTTCCTATAAAGATTAAATAGAAATGAAAGCTTGACACACTTTAAACTATAAAGCAGTATTATTAAGTTAATTTAGGAATAATTTACTTTGTATGTGTTCATATGGGGGGAGCCACAGAAAGGTCTAACACACAAAAAAACTCCATATATTTCATATTAGAAATTCAAATTATATCCAGTACAAAAAATTAAAAATCATTCCACAAGTACATTTAAAATAGAAAACTGTAAGTTTTAAATATTTTTAAATGAACAATTTTCTGAAACTGTTGATTTAATATTCATAAATACTTAAAAACATAAGTATTTATATACATAAAAGTATATATATAAATAAATATATATAAGTATTTATATATATAAAAGTCTATATAAGTGTGTGTGTGTGTGTGCATATGTGTGTGAATATATTCACACACATACACATACACACACACACACACACACACACACACACACACACACACTGGGCTTGTTCAGTCAGTAAACTGTTTCTTTTGCAACCACAAAGACTTGAATCCTAGAACTCAGATTTAAAAAAAAAAAAAAAAGAGCCGGCTCAGTGGTGTATACTTGCAAACTCAATGCTGGGGCAGACAGGGACAGGAAAATCCTTGGGACTCACTGGCTAGCCAGCCTGGCCTACTTGCTGAGCTCCAGGAAATAGTAGACCTCAGTTAATTTGTCCTACATATGTATGTACATACCTGCAACACAAGTGCATGTACATATACATGCACACAAATACATACACACAAAATGATAGGTACTATACAACATTTAAGTGAAGAAAACTGATTATAGATATATATCAATATTATGATCCACTTTATAAAAAGATTAATAAGAAAGGCTTAGAGGACATATATCAAAATTAACAAGTCAGTTAACTCTAGGTAATATGATATATTCTTTTAAAATATCTATTTGAAAATTTCTCAAATGTATATTTCCAAAAATATTTCAGGGCTTATCTGAAGAGTAAGACAACAAATTTATTAGAACTTAACCAGGTATGTCATTACTCACATGGAATGTCTCGGTAGCCATTTTCTAATGCACGAAAATAATTCATAAATTCTTGAGTGGGAATTTTAAATGTTTCCAATAAACCAGTATCTTGAAATAAAGCATACATAACCTAAATATAAAATAAAATGAAGTTCACTTTAGAAATCAGAATGTTTCTCTGTAACTCAGTTTATGATATATTTAGACATACGATCATTATATATTTTCTTTTTCTCATGGTATTCGGTTTGAACTCCAGGCCTCCCACATGTTAGACAAGAACTCTATTCACTAAGTTATGAGACCTTCTTGGTTTTTAGGGTAGAGTCTCTTTAAGTTGTCTAGGCTAGCCTTGAACTTGACATCCTCCTGCCTCAGCTTCTCAGATAACTGGAATTACATACTGTAGCACCAACCTCACCATTCTGATTTTATTTTATTTATGTTTGGAAGGAGGGCATGTGTGCAAGTTCCTGGGGAGTTCAGAAAAGGTTGTTGGATTCCCTAGACTTGATGTTACAGGGAACTTTTGAGTCACTTGACATATGGACACTGAAATACAAACTCAGGTCCTCTGGAAAAGCAGCAAGTACTCAAAATTACTGAGTCATCTCTCCAAATCTCTCAGTGCTTATCTGTAAGTCTGTTCATTATAAATTTCTCAAATAATATTTTTCCAAACAATAACAAAGATATCACCCTAAGTCCTATGAAAACCAAAGAAATTTTATTACACATGTCCCAATTTAAATTTTTTTCTTGACTTCTCTTTAGCTTCCTATTCCAATTTTACTAAAAGACATTGCAAACTCTGTAAGTCTTTAAAAAAACAAAGTCCGAAAAAAATGTATTCATCATATTTTTTTGGTCCTAAAGAATTCAATGATCAGATCTTCTATTCCTACCACACTAAGTATCTCTATGTTTTGTATTTTGTAGATAAGATATTAAAGGAATAAATGAGAATATTTTAACTTTTATTTGCCTGATATAATTGTCATCTTGGAGGTTTACCACTGAATGAGTTTACCCTATCTAGTTTTGAACTCTGGCTGGCTGGTTTAAACTTTTTTCTAAGCTGATGATTCAATCTGGCTTCTCTCCACTTCTCACTGAATTGCTCTGCTTGGCCTCAAACTAACTCTGGCTATTTGTTCTAGTCTTATAGCTCCTTCTTATTCTCTGGCCTCAGCTGCCTCACTGACCCGCACTGAAAGGTATGAACTCACTAGCAAACTACACTCACTGCACTGCACTCACTACACTAAACTTTGCACTGCACTAACTGTACCCACTGCACTCCACTCAGAGCATAGCACTTAGAACACTGTACTCAGTGCCCTGTACCACACTTGCTACACCACACTGCACCCTACGCACTGTACCACAATCACTCCACCGTGCTCACTGCACTCCACCACACTGAGTGCACTGTGCTCACTGCACTGAACTCACTGCACTCCTGCACTGTGCTCACTGTGCTCACTGTGCTCACTCCCAACTCACTGACAAAGTGACTGACCTGAACCAAACACAATTCCAGTCAACTGAACTGACTCCCAACTGACTCAACTTCCAACTCATTGAATTACCTTCACTGTTCCAGCACTGCTCTTAAATAAATTTTCTCCTTAGAGTTGGGCATATCCTTTCTCTGAATCATTTTGTCAAATCTTTCTCTGATTTCTCTGTCACTGTGTCTGCCCCTCAATCAGACAACATAGTTTGGATTAAAGGTGTCTATTAAAGACATGTTTTCATTTCAGCCAGATCACACAGACCTAGAAGGTCTTTGATGTAATGAGAGCAGCCTTGAAATTGCTTCATATAGGAAGGTCAATTGTTATAGAGAATGATTAAGTCAGAGTTAATCTTGGTCCATTTATGAAATGAACTATTCACCCAAGCTCTAGGTAGGAAAGGTAAAAAAATAATATTCATATTTTAGTAGTTAGAAATAAATCATCTTTCAGGTCTTTTCAAATCTCAAGAATCAAGAAAAAGTAAATCTTTATTACTATGTTAGGAAAGCTTGAATCTCATTCATATTCTCAAATAAATGATTTTCATATATATTTATATGTCAAATATGTTTTATATATTAATAACAGCATAGAATATATAGCACATATGTATCATGTACATTTAACTGTTTGAAGGCCACTTGAAAGATAAATTTATTGACAATGCCATTTCTGAACTTGTACTTAAACCAGTAAAATCATTTAGATTTTGCTTTTATCAAATCTGAAAAAATACAGTAATAAAGCAGAGCTATGAAGACTAACCTGACTGAGAATACGTCCTGATTTTTCTCCCATCTTTTCTACAAGCTCAAAAATCTGAAAATTCCAGTGGCTCATCTTTTCTATTAACGAATCACAATCTTCTAACATTGGGTCCAGTAACGCTTCCGGGTTAATCTGAACAAAGGAGAAAAAACAACCTTACTTTACCTTTTACAGACATTTGTTTTTTAGTGAACTTAAGCCATATATTTTCTTCAAACCAATAAATACATTTAAAATATTATCATTTTTATATGTAGTCAGTATAAAAGTATATTTTAAAAATTTAGTATTATATATGAGAGCATACATATTTTTAAATCCATATCTAAATGAGAATGCTTAAGACTGAACATTAACAATAGTTAGTCATCATTTCTGTAGTGGTTTTCTCAAATATTCTTTCATCTTGCCTTCTATTTCTTCTCTTTGTTAAATGCCATATCAAGACTTTAAACACATCTTCTTAGCATCAGAAGGCTGATGATATATTATCATATATATCATTATATATAATTAAGCTTATTTTCAAATGATTATGTAAATATAAAATCCATTATTTTTCACTTTAGACGATATATGTACCAAAGCATAAGGAAAAAAATCCTTATCTCCTAACAGTGGTACTTCTTACTAGAATAGTATCCCCAAACAAATTAATAAGATTTTATCCTACAAATCTCAATACTGAACTTGAAGAAAAATGGTACTACTAGAAGTAATCATTATCTTTAATATTATGTGTGTGTGTGTGCACATGCACATTCACACATGTGATAGTATGTCTGTGAAAGTCAAAAGATAATTTTTAAGAGTCACAGTTCTCTCCTTCCATCATGTGGATTCAGGGATCGAGGTCAGATCATCAGGCTTGGCAGCAAGCAGCTTTACCAACTGAGCCAAGTTGTTAGTCCACGTAAATAATTATTCTCTTCATTTTTTAATAACTATGTACATATCTCTGCATTTTAAAAATATAATTAAGAATGAAATATATCTACTATAAAATTAAATAAAATTTTCATAAAAATAGTAAATATTTTTGTTCTCAGGTAATTGGCTTAGAACTGTTATTGATAACGCAAGCATTATTCCATTAATTGTGATCTCTCAGTAAGAAAATTAAAATACCTTTATACTGATAATTATGTTCTGTTTAAAATAATGAAGCCAGTACTAACTCGTGTCATATTTCACTTTAACATAATGATATTGAAAGTATCTTTTACATTTGGTTGCTGTGCCTCTTCCATTAGGTGATTATCACCTTCCAAAAACAATTCCCTGTAGTCTTTCTTCACTGTCTCTTCTTCTTGAGTTTCCACAATGTTCAATGGTTCTTTTGAGAAAACACTGTTGTCTTCTTCACCTTTCAAAAATATATATAGTAATAAATATAAATAAAATGTCCCTTAAATAAGTAGTTTTATTACAAAACCTGGTCACCGGTATAAAACTATTCTGATAGAGTGAACCACCCTCTAGCCCAAGCTAAACCATTTATTCACACCACAGATTCTACCTTGCTGACTCTCGGTACAGGGGTCTTACACTCAGACAACACAAACACTTCACATTTACTCACTGAAGACAGGAAGGGGTCGATATCTTTATAAAAGGGAAAAACAAAGGATAGTCCCTATCAACAGACACTTTTTGCCAATTTGGTATAAACAATTTTCATATAAAATTATGAGACAAAAATGATAAATTTATAATTATATGTGAACAACATTAAGAAATATGTAAAACTTCAACAATAAAATGACAAATTCTGAGTTATTTCTCTGTTTATTGCATTAATAATATTCTTTTTTTCAAGTTACATGGAAAAGCAGAGTAACACCACTAGCCAAATAATATTTATTCACGTTTTAAACATTTTCCTGTGAGAGATTCATACACTAGTAAGCAGCAAGAATAAATGTAATTACATACAATTTAAGTGAGTTTGTAAACACAAAAATGATCAATGAAGAAAGGCAGAGAAAAAGTCCATACCCTGTTATTCCCCTTATGAAATGTTCTTTTTAAAAGTCTCAAAACTGTTATTTCACCCAGTGAGCTGGCCATGCCTGTCACACAGCCTGGCAACCAGGTTCAATCCCTGGAACCCATATAAAGATGGAAAGAGAAAACCAACTCAACACATTGTCTGACCCCCACATGCATACCATGGTATGAAGGTCCCCCCACCCTCAACCCGCCATCATTCACAAACACACAATAAATTTTAAATGTTTTAATGATATACATGAGTGGTAGACATGAGCACTGAAAGACAGGGAAGTCATTTACCTTAGGGGGCACAGCTGCAAGGGTGCATAAAGGGAAATTTTGAGATAACATTTAGTTTCTAGATCTGGGTACAGATTGTACAATGTATAAAATTCATCAAGCTTTAAACTTATGTTCTGTATGCACTTCAATAAATAGGATTTTAAAACTTTTGTTCTGTTTATTTACTGAGATGGCATCTCACTAAATTGCCCATTCTCCCCTCAACTACCAATATCCTCAACTCATTCACACTATAGGCCTGGCTAATTTTTTAAAAATAAACCTAGGTTTGTTTTGTGCATGTGTGTGTGTGTGTGTGTGTGCACACAACTCACTTTATAACATGGGCTGGATTAGAACTGTAAACATGTATGTAGCTCAAGCTGGGCCTTGAACTCACAGCAAGCCTCATGTTTCACTTTCCCAAGTACTAGAGTTATAGGCATGAGCTAGTATGCTGGCTCTTTTGGGTTCTTGAGAGTCATCAGTAAGGAGGGCAGTGTCCCACGCCTATAATCCTAGCTACCAAGGAAGCTGATCACTAAGTAGAAGCCTACATGGGTAACTTACAGAGCTACTATCTCATAAAGATCAAAAAAAGATAATAAGATGTACTTACTGAAGTTAAACTTCAGAAGTAGTTTCAAAACCTGATATTTGTACTCAAAAGCAATATTTCTCTTCACTATAAAATGTTGATGGTAACTAAACCAACTTACCAGACCTTAAACATAAAATGTGATTTAAAGATTTAATCAATTCTATACCTAACAAACTGAATTACAGCAAATATTAGTGTAAGGTTAGAAAATACTATTGTTTATAAAAACTATTTACCAAATAAAACACATTCATTTTATAAAATAAAACTTTGAATATAGTAGTGCTTCTTTATCTGAGGCCCCATTTTCCAGTTTCAGATACCCATGGTCAACCGCCATCCAAAATGCTGCATGGAAAAGTTTATAGAAGTCATGGCCTCAAACTGCATGCACATCAAAACAGGGTGCTGAAACCTCACTGTCCTCTCTAGCCCATCCAGCACTAGAACCATTTCTTCATCCAGTGTATCCAAGGAAGATGCCTCCCACCTGTTTGACACCTACTACCCACCTCAGTATCAAGTCAACTCTAGGACCTGCAGTGCTCACAAGGGTACTGTACCTTATTTCACTTAATAATGCATGTAGAAAAGGGGACTATAATATTCAAATAGTCTTGGTAAATAAGGACAGTCGTTACAATGATACTCTAAACAAGAAGTTGGTTTCAAACTGTTGCATTATTAAGTGTAAAACCCTATTGCTGAAAACACCACACACCACACATCTTGAAACTGAGCTGGAAGCTCCATGCTGGATAGAAGGCGCTATGCAGGCTGCAGGAGAAAAGGCATCAGTGGTCTATCCCAGCTAGCCATGAATTCCACAAAGTGCAATAACAACACACCAGGCAAGATGTGCCACTACTGGAATAATGGTATGACTTAAAGGGAACAAGTAGTCATTTTCTGGTTGCATGTGAAACCCCTTCCATGAGAAGGATTTCAAGCCTGGTACTGCAAACCTGATCAAAGTTCCATGACTTGGGAGACCATGGACCCTAGGGAACTTAACTACTGTTGAGTGGCGAAAGTGACATGACATTAAACTGTCTTCTAAGCACCTGTAGTTATACTCAGATAAATGCTACTCTCAGACTTAATCAAGAAACTTTTCTTTACAGTGAATGACAGTGAATACAAAGACTATCTGATACTCAAAAAGGAAAATGGAACCTTTCAGTACAAAGCCCTAAACAAGACATTTACACTCCTTGTCTAAGAGTTAGGAAATATCATTAAAGAGAGGAAGAAGGAATGTTAACAAATGAAAGACAGGAAGAACAACCACTACAATCACAAATGCATCAGTTGCAGTTGCCTCCACTGAGTGGGGCTGTACAAGGCTGGACTGGTCAACAGCCAGTAATAGGTGGGAGAAGAGTTCCCGGGGCCTTCTCCCCATGTAATGTGGTTTATGTTTCTGGCCCTTTAAAGGATCCCTAGCTACTAGTCAACTGGACCTTTAAAAGAATTGCTTGACCCTATGACCAGTGCCTTCTGCCTCCTGGACTTCTGGAGAGGATATAAAAGGCCAGCAGAGGCTGAAAGAGGAAGAGTAGTAGGGTCCAGGTGGCAGAAGAGTACAGTTAGAGAAGACAGTGGTGCAGAAAGAAAGAAAAGATTGAGTCAGGCTAGAGAAGGAAGACAGTGGTGCAGAAGAGATTGAGCAGGTGAAGACAGGAGCCAGCAGGACCTGAGCTGAGCCAGAGAAGGTATTGTTAGACACTTGGAAGTGAATTGGACTAGCAGAGTGAGAAGAGAAGACAGCTGGTGACAGTTGAGTCAGGAGAAGCCGACCTGAGCAGATAGGCTAGCACAGTTGTTTATAGTGTAGAGCTGCTAGAACTTCTCCCAGTTTTCCAAGCAGAGTGATGGAGAACTGAGGGAGGAATGGTTGGGAGAAAACTTTGAAGGAGCTGGGCTGAAAACTGGGAGAAGGGCTGGCCTAGAATTAAGAGAGTTGGTTACTGTTTGTAAGAAAAGGAGACATTAAAAGAAACATTAAAGAAAACAACACATATTTTATATCTCTCTGCTGACCAGTTGCCTCTAAAAGACAAGGAGTACAAGGGAATATCTTCAGATGTCTACCTACTAGTTAGCCTACTAGGCTCCACTAGAAAGAAAGCTCCCTACTCATGGTTAAACACGTATACCTGCTTAGACTCAGTGGGTCACAAACACAGGCATAACCAGGAAAGAGTTCTATGCGAAGGGACAGCAGTGATGAGAGGGAAATGACGAGGTTACAGGATTAGAATAACCTACTATGTACTGTGTACATGTATGAAACTGAAAAAGGACAAATCTAATTTAAAAATCATTGACACTTAATGTGTAACACATGATTTTTTAGTGATTTAAACAAGGAAAATTCTGACTGCTTTCTTGGCAGGACTGCCTGGGCTGGATTTTAAGATGGATGCCTACTGGCCTTCTCATAGGCTTCAAATTTGTTGGTTATACTCTGAAAGAGAAGGAAATGGGAACTTCCAGTCTATAATTCATTTATAGTCTCTTTGAGCAGTCACAAGGCTTCCTGAGAGTCCATGGTATTGGTAAATAAATAAGATCTCATGGGGGAGAAGTTACTGTAATGCATTTTAGAAGTGTATGGCATGAAGTGTTGTAGTCCTCTTCGGAGAAGAAATTGCTGTGTCTGTAACTGAACCTGTATTAGTGAAAGATTAGAAACAACCTAGATGTCCTGCAATAGAAGAATGGATAAACAAAGTGTGGTACATTTACATAATAGAGTATTACTCAGCCATTTAAAAAAATGAAAATCATGAAATTTGGAGGTAAATGGTTGGAACTAGAAAAATATCATCCTAAGTGAGGCATCCAAGACCCAAAAAGACAAAAATGGTATGTACTCACTGATATGTGGATATTAACTGTTATGTCATGATAACCAAGCTATAATCCATGGAACCACAAAGGTCCTATGTAAGGAACTAAAGGGTAAAGGTAGCTCTCACTAGAAAAGGAAAATAGATAGTTATGGGTGGATGGGAGTTATAACAGAAGGAACAAGTGGGGAGCAGGATGGGAGAGGTGGTGTGGATGGAATATTAGGAGAGACAGCTAAGATTAAGGGCCATTTAGGGGTAGTATGGAAACCAAATACAGTAGAAGCCTGCTAAAATATATACATATATGAAGGTGATCTAAATGAAATTGCCAAATAATGGGGTAGACAAAGTCACAATTTGCCATTTCTCATCACCAAATGAAGCTTCCAATGCTGGGATTGCATTACATCTGTTTTTGGCCAAAGGAGTCTCATGGGAATCCCCAAACAACCCAGGCCAAGACTATATATTTGCTCTCCACAAAATGATAGTAAGGCCCTATTGCTTAAGACAACACTACACAACTCACTGAATATGCAGAAGTCAAGCCAGGGCCTTCATAGAGCCTTCACCCTTATGGACTAGAGTCTTTGGTACAGGAAAGTTCTTTGTGTACTATCAAAAGAGAACTATAAAAACCAATCCAACCACAAACCTTTGGATGGACAATGGTGTTCTGCCTGCAAGGCATGGTATAGCAATAGTGTCACAGAACTGTGGGAGTAACCAACCAATATCTGATTTAACTTAAGGCCCACTCCACCAGATGGAACCCATACCTGATATTGCTTTGGGAACCAAGAGCCAAGAACTATGTAGCCCAAGGAATTAGGGTAAAATAAAAAGTTTATATATATACATATACATACATATATATGTATGTGTGTGTATATATATATATATATATATATATATATATCTCAATAAAATGACTCCTAATTGCATTCCGCAATATACATAGATTAATGCCATGCTCAACCCTCATCAGAGAAGCTTCTTCCTGCAACAGAAGGGAACAAATGTAGTGACCCATAGCCAGACATTATGCAAAGGGGGAGAGGCCTTGGAACACTGAGCCCTAAATGGATGTCTCCATCAAATCTCTCTCCTCAAGGCTCAGGGAATCCCATGGAAGAGAAGGCAGAAAGAGTGTATGAACCAGAGGGACTGAACAAAACAAGGCCATCTAAGTCAACATGATCAAAGCTCATAGGAATTCACAGAGACTAAGGCAGTACCATGCATAGGACCTGAATGGGTCTACACCAGGCACTATGGTGACTCTGTGTATATATTATAGATTCCAGTTTAATGTTTTTATAAGATTTCTGAGTGTGCTAAGAAGTGAGTTTCTGATTCTTGTGTCTTGATTTCAGCTTTTCTCCTGTTTGTCTTGACAACTCTGATGCATTAATTTTTGTTTTATCATGTCATATCATACTAAAATCTCTTAGAAGACTAATTTTATAATGAACTTGGAATAGTAGAGGGAGGGGAAACATAATAGGATATACATTATTTGATATTTTAAAAATCTATTTTTTAATAATAGGAAAAATAATTTTTAAGAATTTCAACTTACTCAGATAAAACTGAAAGTCCTCTAACCTCACAAAACATTTACAAAAATTTACAGCATGAAATATTTAGCCATTTGAAGTTCAAGGTAAAAGAAAAGTTTTTGCCTGATTTTCTAGAACATAAACCACTCTATGCTCTGGTGGGAAACAGAAGTTACTATACAAGTTGAATATAAAATTCATGAACATCTGAATCCTGCTAATTGTAGATATAATGCAATAATAAATAAGAATTTTTTAAAAATCAGCCTGGTAACACTTCACATGATTGCTGCCTACCATGGTCACATGAACTCTAGTAGGAATCTCCCCTCTGAGACCAATCATTCCACAGAACTATGAAAAGTAGTAAAAAAAATATTTGTATTAATTGTAACTACATGCCATTAAAAGTTGTATTAATTGTAACTACATGCCATTAAAGCCCACCATGTCCGATGAGGACACTGTAGCAGAATATCTCAAGTTGGTGGCTTATAAACAAGTTTATTTCTCACAGTGTAGAGGTGAGAGGATCAGTGCAGTGGTATTCTGGTAAAGTTCTCAAGTTTCAAAAGACCAGTTTCTCATACAGCAGAAAAGAAAGCTACAAAGTTCTAGTAGCTTTAAAGTCTAGTCCCTTTAAAGGAAATAATCTCACCTTCACCATCTGATTCCCTCCCAAAGGCCCCAACACATTCAGGTGTTAGCACCTGAATTTTGGGTGAATAAAAGAAAATTTAGCTTGTACTCAAAGTGCACAAATAAACAATTTTAGTAATGGAAGGTTACACAACATTAACTATCATGTTAATCTACATTTAGAACATTCTCATCATCTACAAAACATTCCTTACAACTGTTGTTAATTTCCATTATCCTTTTACATCTCAACTATATTCATATTGTGCAAATTTACCCTTTGAGAATTTTTTTAATGGATATTTTATTTATTTACATTTTAGATGTCATCTCTTTCCCCCATTTCCCCTCTCTAGAAACCCTCTATCCCACCCTCCTCCTCCTTTTTGCTTTTATACCATTCTAATTACAGGCAAGTATTAAGATCAGTTCTAGATTGAGGAACGAGCAATACAATAGATGCAAATAGTCAAGGAACAAGCCAGACAATAAACATAGTCAAAAAACAGGCAAGGCAATAAACAAAGTTCCATGATCACTCCCATGATCACTGTTTCTAAGGGTTTATCAGGATGACGAAAATATCTGAGCCTACTTCCCTGTCCTAGCCTAAAGTCATTTTCATGTCTGAAGCCTACTTCCTTGTTCTAGCCTAAAATTTAGATTCCTACCTGAAACTACTTCTTTGTTCTAGCCTAAGATTTAGATTCCTGCCTGAAATTACTTCATTGTTCTAGCCTAATGTCAGATTCCTGCCTGAAGCCTACTTCCTTGTCCTTGGCCCATGTCAGATTCTTGCCAAACAGCCCTAAAGGCTCTCTGCCTCTCCCCCTTTTTTATTTCATAAAAAAGACTGAGCCTGTCTTAAGTTGTTCTGACAGGAATGACTTCCTTACCCATTGTGGAAAATGCATTACCCAAAATAATGCATTTCTGTCTTAGGTTGGTAAGGCTCTGTGCAGAATCTTACCCATCCTTGGCTTACCAGCCTGTTAAATTAATAACTCTGTCTGGGGGTCCATTGTCAGTTTCAAGCCATGCACTTTGGCTGCCAACATGTTGATGTTGGTAAAGACAAGCTTTAACACAATGGGCAGGAATAAAAAAAATCTTGTTGATGTAATAATATAATATTTTATTATATGTGAATATTATGTATACAAAAATGTAAATATTTCAAGCCTGGCTTCTTTCACTTAAAACAATATTATTTGTGTTGTTGGACCAAATATCAAAAATTCACTACTGTAACTGCTAAACACAATTTACAAAAGTCATATACCTACAGAGTTTATTGACTCTCAAGCTGGAGTTTGTACTGCTCCCACACCTGTACTATGATGATAAAAGATGCACTGAGTGTGTTTTCTCTAGATATACTCTGGACTGTAGTACTGCTGAGTCATGTAAATCTATATGTAATTTTCTAGAAACTGTCAAATGTTTTTAAAAGTTGGGAGCTGAAAACAGGTCTCATTAAGTTAGAGGACAGCCTTGAATTGATCAGTGTAAAGAGGCTGGCCTTTGCTCTGTAGCCCCAGCAGGCTGTGTACTTGCATCCTGAGTAGCTATCAAACCCTGCCCCAACAGGTTTAGCTAAGTTTTAAATTGCTAAAGCCAAATTTATTTTTTTCTATCAGTGGTGGTAAAATTTGTACTTAAAATTGATTTTTCCCAATTATCTCTCCCCACTCCCCCTCTCTCTTTCTCGCTTTAAATAAAATGTAAGAACTCTAGGAATGTAGCTCAGAGGTAGATCCCTTGCCAAATATTCACAGGCCTCTTAGTTCAAGCCTCAGCAACATAAAAAATAAGTTAAACATAGTAAAAAAAATAAAAAAATAATATTGACTATCTCTTTCTCATTATGGCTGTTAACTGTCGATATACCTTTTATCAAGTTGACAAACTACCTAGCTATTACAAGTTTGGTTTTGGCCACAAACAAAATTGTTATTGCTTCTCCTTTCTCTCTTGAGACTCTCATGTGATTTTTTTCCCCTCTATATTTGGTATATATTATCTATTAACCTTTGGATGTCCCATGATTCTTGCATTTTGAAATACCACATGACCACAGGGGACATTTTAACATTTCTAAATTCAGTCTACTCACATTTCATTAAAATATTTCTATGCACATAAAAGATATCAGCCTGTTGCCTGTTCTTGTGATGCCTCTATGTGGATGTGGTGTTCAAGTAACACAAATCAAATGCACAAGCTGCAAGGTTGTACTGCCTCTGTTTTGGGAAGCATTTAAGTGAAGGATTAGTCTTCTTTTAAACAATCTTATCAGGTGTAAATTATATAAACAAACAAGTAAATAAATATTTTTTTTAAATCTGTTGAGTTGTATACATTTAAAAGTAAATTTTATAGTCCAGGAAGGATTGTTAAAAGCAATCCTTTTTACCCTTTCTCTGTTACCCTTTTGCCTATGATATAGCATTTTAGAGTTTATACATTCCATGACAATGACAATTTTTTTAAAGTTATGGAATAGCTAAAATTTCATCAATAGCATTTTCTTGTATAGGGTATAAAATGCTTCATAATGACACTAATCATTTCTCTCAATACCATAAAACTACATAATCCTTTTCAAGCATAAATTGTGTGGAACAGGTTTCAACATGACTAATTTCACTATTTATTAAAACTAGCCATAACTAAAGACTACATTCATCTGTATAAGACATTTCTTGCTCTTCAAAATATGCCCCTCACCTGTTACTTGTAAGTCATTCTTACTAATTCCTGGAGAACAAGTAAAAACCACTGTACTAACTGCCGTGAGATGAAGAAGTGTGAGCTGTGATGTAATCAGTGTGGAGCATTCACTCCATACATGTGACTCTCCTGACTTTCACCCCAGCACCACAAAAAACAAAAACCCAGAAATGTAAAACTAGGTAAATGGGCATTTAAAAAAGGCACTGTAAAACTAGCCCTGAACTCAAAATACATATAACTGATGCAGTCTCACCTGATTTTTCACTGTGGTGGTCTGTACCATCGGGTTCACATGTTGAAACATATTTGAGTATTTGGTGTCCACAGCTTACAGAATAAAACAAATAAATATATATGATAAATGAAGTTTTGTTTTATTTTACTAAACATTACTAAACATCACTAGGTAATCTGCCTGAATTTTAAATGAGATCTCAACTGTAACATATCCTAAGACTCTCATCTCTGCATAAATCTGAATGATATTATTTAGGAAACTCCTGTGTCCTTAAAGGAAATAATATACTTTTGAAAGTCAATAGTAGGGTATAAGTTAAAAACATGTATTTCTGTTGAAAACAAAATATGAAGACTAAATCAACAAAGGATTGAAAAATAACCACTAAGTGGTATATATTAAATAATTGTCTTTACTGATATGATATGAGGAGTAAAATACCATTGTATTTCACCTCAGATAAAGATTATTTATCTGGAAACTAATAGCACTGAACTGAGAAACGCTTTGTTTAAAACTATTACATATATCAAGACAATACAGTTTTAAACCATCCTCCACTTAAAATACAGAATCAGAAAACTGCTAACACTATTAAGAGAACTTGTGTTCTAAAGGTACTTACCTGCTACACAGATTACTGTCAGAGTTCCTGAGGAGATCTGCTGGATTGGATACACTGCCCAGTGATCTATGTAAACTAACACTTGGCTTAGTAAGAAAATCAGTGGTATCAGGAAATCCTATGGCTGATCGATTAGTTAGAGAGACAGCAGACACTGGTCCATGGCTTGAAGAATTCAGAAGACTGAGGCTGGGCAAAGCACCTAAAAATTAAGAGAGGGGATATATAAATAAGTAAGGATTTATGAGTATGCATTCATTGTATGTGTTTTGAGTTTTTTATAAAGAGCATTTGCCTCCTAAAAAATAAATTTCAAATAAATAATAAGTTTGCATCTATGGTGGGCTTTGATGCAGTCTAAGAATTAAAAAACCAGTATACTTGTCATTATCGATCACTACTAAGTAATTAGTAGTTATCAGCCTCTGACATAACAACACATACTAGGTAAATACTGAGTTCCTTTAAATGTCTGGCTGCAGAGCAGAAATATTTTGAGTTCACATTGGTCTTGACCTCTTATATTTTATGAAAGGCCTGTGATTTCAAGAAAAAAGAAAAACAGATCAGCTATCTTTTACATTCTATTAAAAGAAAGCTTAACTGTCCACAAATAATAAAGTATTAAAAATTTTCTTAATTCATAATATTCAATATTGAAGAACTAAAGTTTAACAACATTAAGCAAATTGATAAAATTAGACTAGCACAGTGGAGAGAGCATTTAAAAGATACATCCACAAGTTTCCAGCTCATTCAACAAACACTTAAGAGGTTATTTTGTGCTACAAATGTGTTGAACTTCACAATGGAGAAAAAGTATCTTTGCAACTCAACAAGCCTAGAACACAGTAAACAGAATTACACAAATAAAATGAAAAGAAAAATCCTTAAGGAAAAAGTAGCATGTCTCTCAAATTATTGGTGGAATCTTTGGTGAATTACTTGAGTTAAAGTGATATTTACCTGAAGAATGGTACACAGAGATAATACTTTGGTGAAAATTTAGAAAATCCTATAAAACACAGGTATATTTATGAGTATCACACATCTTTAACTATTAATGTATTCACTGACATAAGGTTGTTTGTGTATCTTGGTTATTGTGAATAATGCAGCAACAGGCATGGAAGCACATGTATCAACACAGGAGACTGACTGCCTTTAGGTTATCTCTAAAAGACTCATTTGCTGCGTACTTCTAGCTGTAACTTTTGAGGGCCCCAGAACGACTATGTAAATTTTTATCAGATATATAACTATAGGCTCCTTTTCTCCACACCTTACTCAACACTAGTATTATAAGTTTCTCTTTAAATTTCTATAACATAAACAGATAATTTTTGAGAAGCAGGTTCTAAATGCATTCCTTTACATGTGCATATACACTTCAACCACCATATGAAATGATAATATTCATACTGCTACTGAATCATCTTGGCATCTTTGCTGAAAATAACTTGAATATAAATATTTCTGAATTCTATTACCAAAAATTGGAATATATTTATGCCGATAACATACTCTCTTAATTTCCACAACCTTGTAGTAAGTTTTAATAGCTGGAATTGTGAGTTCCTATTATTTATTTTTCTTTCTCACAAGATACCATTTTACTTATTTTTTATGACATTTCTTTAGGTCTTCAATCTTCTATTTTACAATTCATTGTTTCATCATTCATTCTATTTTAAAAATTCTTTTGGATTATTCAGTTCTTTAAATCATACCACTTTACCAGCAATACTAGCTTTTTCTGCTTCTGTGAAGTGTTAAGTCTATGTGTAATTATAATTCTTTTCCTTATTTCAATAATGGCTAGTCTTACAGAAGTTAAAATCTATTTACACTTTCTGTATCCTTTCCTGATATTGTTACTATGCATATATTATAGTGCTTTGAAAAGTTTACTGTTACTCAGTGATTTCCTTATATCTAACTACTTGGGGTAAAGGGTGTTTTTCACTTATTTATGTAGTTTCATACTGGAATGTAAATTACTTCTATCCTACCTAAGGAGCTTTCTTTGCAGAATTTCAGTACAGATATGCTAGTAGCAGATTCATTTAAGCTTTCGTATGAGAAAAACTGTTTCATTTTCTAACTCCTTTCCTAAACAAAACAAATTTCCCTTAACTGTGCTGATATACTTTTACACCATAAAACAGCACCGTGTGTGTGTGTGTGTGTGTGTGTGTGTGTGTGTGTGTGT